CCTAGCCACCGCCTTTGTAGCTAATCTCCTGGATTTTTTGTATCTTGACTTGTCATCTGCATTTTTGAATTTGTACCATATTTTATAAAGGGCTTTTTTCTCCTGTATAGTGGTTTGTACCTCTTGATTCCACCACCATAGTTCTTTGTGTGATTTGTTGCCTCCTCTTGTCAAGCCTAGCGTCGATTTTGCAATGTCTATTAATCTGGATGAAAGGTCTGTCCAGATTTTTTCACTGACTTGTGAGCAATTTATTGTTTCAATGTTTGCATTGATTGCAAAGGCATCTGTCATTGTTTTTAATTTGCCCCATTTGATGCATGGTTCCAGTTTTATCTTATTTTGAGTGGATTTATTTGAGATTTGTAAATCCATGATTAGTAGCTTGTGTTGTGCGGCGATATCTTCTCCTGGGATGACTTTGCAGTCTATTACATCTTTTAATCTTCTGCGAGAGATTAGCATGTAATCTATCTGTGTTTTCCTAGTACCACTTTCATATGTTATTTAATGACTGTCTTTTTTCCTATAGTAGGTGTTGGTTATGGCAAGGTCGAAGCCTTGCGCAAATTTCAGTACGTGCTCTCCTTCATCATTTCTTTCTCCGTATCCAAAACCACCATGATGCCTTTTGTAGCTACATTTAAGTCACCACCAATTATGACTAGGTCATCCTTAGGGATTTCCATTATAGCTTCATCAAGGATAGCTCTAAAGTCATCTTTCTCTTCTTCCTTGCAACCCGTTTGAGGAGCATATACTGATAGGATGTGTAGTATTGATTGACCAATGCAGAGTTTTATCTTCATAGTCTATCAGAGATCCTGTTGACTTCTACTACTGAAGAGGTTAGTATTACAAGTTACCTTAAATATAATAAAAATGCCCTTTACTCTCAATTATATAACTTAACAACCCAAAATAATTCTTTCTAATAATATTAAATAAATACCATTGACCATTAACGACGATCCATATTTAACATAATTATCTTTATTTCCAATAAAACCACAACAATCTAACATAAAATATGTAGAAAAATATAACATAATATAATTATCCAATTCTTCATTTCTCAAAGGTCCACAGCTGACATCTAATCCAATATCTCTTAATCTCCAACTACGGGTTTTTCCGAACAATGAAACACACCCCGTGATCCCTATCTCCTCTTCTTCCCCCAAGGAAAACTTAATTTCCCTGTCAGAAAATAACTGACATTTGATGTATTATATTAAATTTATTTCTTCTTTTTTTCAACAGTTACAACACGCCCACCCTTCACAAGCCCAGCGTCCCTCTCTCTGTGGTGTTGTTGTATCGAATCACATCTTTGAATTGTATAGAATCACCCCTTTGAATTGTATCGAATCACCTTTTTGAATTGTATCGAGACGCCTTGAAGACGTTCAGGGAATTTGTCGAATCGTCTTCCCTTATGATGATTTATAATATAATATCGCCGATACCTTTCAATATATAATCGCGAAAACACATATTATCAATAATGACCTGTACATTGGGGTATCTGCATTTATAATCTATGCAACATTAATATGGACAATGTAATATCAGCAAAACATAATAATTCATTCATTTTAAGACATTTGGGAAATATGAGCTATAATACACATTATTTGGATATGATTCATGGTAATTAAGAAATAATGATATTACATATAATAATGTAATGTGAACATATTGTCTGTGTGTGAAATGCAATTTCAACACATGTAATTTTCCTTCTGTCATGTAAAAAAACAAAGCTACATTTATGTAAATATTTCCTAAAATGAATAGAAAAATCCATCCTTAGGTATTACAAATAATTGCGAAACTCTGCCAAACAAAAATTCTACCTAAAATTACAATATATCCATATACAAATACATTTAATATTTTATATGAAGGAACAAATATAATACGTAGAAAATACAATATTTCCCATCTAGGAATTACTCAGTATCCTTAGAAAAATATACCATTTCTACCTAACTCTGTCATCACAGTTAGCACAAATTCACAAAAATGTAGAATGCAAAATAACAACAATTGAGAATTTAATGGGCTATATGGTATATATGTAAAGAATTTTTAATATACCATCACAATATAAAATAATTTGAGTCTTTTCTTTAAAAAATATGTTCATAATTAAATAGTAAAATGTGATGTGCTAAAAAATTATTACAAAAATAAAAAAAATGTAATGCAGCATAAATTAAAAAAAATTTACACCAAAAAAAAAACTTTCTCCAGTATGCAAACTAAACAATATTCTCACTTCAAGGCATACCCATCAACACGGGCTGACCTTATCTGTAAAAATATTTTCCCTTTACATCATTGCATACCTCACAAATAATATAATAATTGCAAATAAAACTTCTTATAAAAATTTATAATTTAAAAAAAAATATATATATATTAAATATAAAGATTTCATAATTTGGAAAAAAAAATATTATACACCATCTAATGTATCATACAAATTCCTATCCAATTTATATATACACTAAATGCAGACGCTAAATCAAAATAACTATCCACAAATTCTCATTCATAATTAAATATATCATATGTTACCTATACAATATATTAACATTATAAATAATAATACATAGTTAAATATATCATATGTTACCTATGCAATATATTAACCTTAATTAATAATAAATTATCCCATACATATTCATCCCTTTACAAACCCAAAATGCATAATTAAATAATACACACTTTATTACAAAAGTCAATATCCATATATATTTTCATAAATTTCACATATTTAAATATTTAACAATCCTTTCTGTCCTGCTGTTCATGAGGTCTTTCAGCTTCCTATGACGGAATACCTATAACACCATTCAATGAGTTTTAAGGCATACCAAATAATGATCAAAATTATATGTACCTTATACATCTAGACATAAGATAATATACCAAATATTACTGTCTTAAATTCCTGATCTTATTTCCATATTTCTGCCTAATACTCATTACATACTTTCTATCTTACACCTTTTAAGTTAAATATAAAAGTATAGAAATCCTTAAACTCATGAATCTGTATAGTTTTTAGTACATTGCCTTGTCAAAACTTCTCTTATGTAATATGTATACAACAAAAATTTTGTTTTACTTTAAAACCGAATCAACCCACTCTTTCGATCTTGGTCAGCTAGCAACAATATTACAAGTTACCTTAAATATAATAAAAATGCCCTTTACTCTCAATTATATAACTTAATATATAACTTAACAACCCAAAATAATTCTTTCTAATAATATTAAATAAATACCATTGACCATTAACGACGATCCATATTTAACATAATTATCTTCATTTCCAATAAAATTACAACAATCTATCATAAAATATGTAGAAAAATATAACATAATATAATTATCCAATTCTTCATTTCTCAAAGGTCCACAGCTGACATCTAATCCAATATCTCTTAATCTCCAACTACGGGTTTTTCCGAACAATGAAACACACCCCGTGATCCCTATCTCCTCTTCTTCCCCCAAGGAAAACTTAATTTCCCTGTCAGAAAATAACTGACATTTGATGTATTATATTAAATTTATTTCTTCTTTTTTTCAACAGTTACAACAGTTAGGTCTTGGCTGAGGATGATGCCGACACCGTTCCTATTGCTAACAAGTCCATTATAGTACAATTTATATGTCTTCTTTGCTTTGACCTTTACTTTATTTTTCACAGGATGGAGCGCGTCGCATGGAGGGAACGCCCTAGCTTTCATATTCATATTTTCATTTGTGTCCTTCATTTGTTTATTGGACAGGTATCCTTAGCACTCGGCTGTCCAGGCCTGTCGGTGACCGGGGTGTCATCTCTAAGCTCCGAAATTCATCATACCATATGTCTTTACACATCAGTCATCGAAGAAAAACTTGAAAGTTTTTATGGTTCTTACCAGGATTGAACCCACGTCCTTGTTCATACTCGTGTTTCCAAGCCTACATCTTACCCATTAGGCCACCCCGGCGATATTTAAAAAAATATATATAATATTTTAATGCAAATTAATTTAGCTTGGAGCATTTTTTTTTGTTTTTACTGAAATCATTTCAGCAATTTTATCATGATACATATTTTTATGATGATGTGTTTTTTAACGCTGTTAAATGACCAGATATTAGTCGATTTTTAGAAACGCCTCGATTAAGATTTTAGAATATTATATAAGACTGCAGATTTCGCTTATAGATGGAAGAAAGGTTTAGACTTCAATTAGCTAAATCTTGAGGTACATAATCGACTAATATCTGGTCATTTAACAGCGTTAAAAAACACATCATCATAAAAATATGTATCATGATAAAATTGCTGAAATGATTTCAGTAAAAACAAAAAAAATGCTCCAAGCTAAATTAATTTGCATTAAAATATTATATAGGTACATAATATTATTCTGGTTAAAATCTTAGTATATTTTATTATCAGTAGTATTATAAAATAGATAATATTTTGATAATATATTATTTAATAAATGTGCTAAAGTATTTCTTGCCTTCATTTGAAAAAGTTAATAAAATATTGGTTTCATTTATTTTATTATCAATATATTAAAAATATTATAAAAAAAATTAATTACATTTAAATTATTTTTTGATTTATCTAAATTATTGCATATTTGAAATTTTTTTTTAACTAAGTTAATTTGATTTGGAATATCATCAAGATATTTATTTTAAGACCAAAAACTCGATTCATCTTGGAAATTTCTAAATGTAAAATTAAATTGTAATGTTTTATAATTCACAGTTTGGTTTACCACACGATCAATGAGAATAATTTGGATTTAAGATATTATATTATAAAATCTATTATCTCATCTATTACGTCAAATAATTGGTATCTGGCAATATCCTGCGACTATCAACATGTTTAACAGGTTGCATGATTTTTGACAGAATGTCAATATACCATTTTTTCCAAACTTCTATATATTCCTTAATTTTTTATTAACTCGCCATTTTCAGTTTGCACTTTTCTTATTCCTTTATTTCATATATTTTTGCTATGTTCAGCTTAAATCGATAAAATTTATGTCATTATTTGAAAAATTTTGAAGGATAATATTATGACATTAATATCTTAAATATTTATATAGTTATTCAAATTACTTACATGGGTAAAACAATATATATTTATAAACAATCTTAATAAATTTAAGACCATGTTCCGAATTATATAAATAATAAAATTTGCTTATATACATTTAAATGAAATTTTCATTTTTCTTGTATATTTAATTTTAACATTGGCTAATTTTATTTTTACATGAAATTAATGTTTTCTTACATAAGTTTATATTAAGATAATTAATAATAAATTAGTTTAAATCCTAATTTATATTGACAAGTTCTTAAAACCTTTTCTTTTAACTATCACTATCTAAGACATTAGGCAGGGGTGCATTAAATTTAAAAATGCTAATATCAATTATATATGTGATCAGCAGAAATGCTTGCTGGGCAGATGTATAGTTGTGTATGTTAAAATGACCTGATATATATCAGAATTGTCAACTAATTTTTTATCCAAAAACATGAATATTGAAAATTAAATTTATTGTTAAAAACTGATCCATAACATAGGCTCATTTCATTGCTAATGTTAAAAATATTTTGCTTGATATATGGAATATATTTTTAGATATGTATATTTTTATAAATTTATAATCAAAAATTTATCTTGTAATTTTTTTATTATTAAATTTAAAAATATATACTTTAACTAGGACTGTGCTGATATTTTTGCCAATAATGACCTGTTTATAAATGTGTATATTTTAGAATTGGCATTAGATTTCCAGCTAATTTTTTTATAAACATCTTGGAATATCGATATAACATTAAAACCTTTATTATAAGGAGTCAGAATTAGCTGATGAAGAATTTGTTCTGGATTGGATTGGCAAATATTTGTTAACAACAATTCACAACTAAGCTTAATCATTTGCTGATGGTGAATTTTCTTTAAATGATTTGTTTAATAAATTACTGTTTATCTTGTAGTTATTCTGAGATATTCACATTTATAACTAGTATTTTAATATCAGAATAAATATTGACAAAACCCTAAATTTAATTTAAATAAATTTAGTTTAATTAATATTCCAAGATAGTTATGCATTAAAAGGTTATTGCCAATCTTGTGCCAATTCCAATATATAAAAATCTCTAATTATGTTTAATACCAGCACTGCCAGGATCAGTATCTGCTAAAAATTTCTATTTTATGATATTAATTGCTAATATCCATCATAAAAGACACTGCAATGTTAAGCCCTATTTATTTTTTTATAACAAAGGGCCCCTTTAACCCATTAATGGTCAAGATTTTTCTAGTGGATAAAAATGCTCAATTTTTTCAAATTATATTGATTAATGCTCAAATATGATATTCTAAAAAAATCAGCCAAAAAAAATAATCCTAAATAGAAAATCTAGCCTGGTGCATATATGCACCGTTAACCATTAAGAGGTTAAAAAAGATAAAAATTATATAAAATACTATAAGATCAAAAAAACAACAAATATCTTTATTCTTTTTTTGTAATTTATAATAAAAACGAGAAAATGTTTATATATTATGAAAATCCTTGAAACATTTAATATGGAGTGCGATTTGACATGTTTGGCACATATATCTTGAGTGCGTATGGCAATATCTGCTTCGTCTTTTTCCATCTATAATTTTGGAAAAATAATGTCCAGATGAATCAATAGGGTTTTCACACTGTAATGCAAACTGGCTGGCGTGACCTGTACTTGAATTTTTTTCAATTTTTACTGGCGTTCGAAGGAGGTAGTTAGTAACTTCTCGTCTAAATGCAAGCAAACTCTTCTTGTCATCTCGATTCACGAATTTCCAGATTTTCCATGAATTTACCAAAGCTACATCAATAAAATTGGTGAATATTGGCCACCACCATTTTTTTCCTCTTATTTTTATTCTATATGTAGATATTAGATTATCACATAGATCAACTCCACCCATGTGTTTGTTATAAGCAGTTACCATATTTGGCTGAGGAATTTTTATTTTAGAAGATATTTTCTTAGAATACCTTGAAACATTAGAAAGCAAAGAGATAGTGTGGCATGTCGATGCAACGGTCACCACCGAATTATCATTCCAACGAACTACAAATATTTCGTTTAATTTTTCAAACCTATAATCATAATATCCTCTTTCTTTTTTTGCTACAACCTTTATAGATTCAACTGGGCAATGCTCTATTCTATTGTCCCTCACAGTTCCAGTTGCAAAATATCCCATTTGTTTTAAGTATGACAAGAGTTTAAATGATGTAAAGAAATTATCAAAATATATTTTATGATAATTTGGTTTTTGCAATGCCTTTAATAATTTTATGATTACATTTCCACCTAATCCATATTCATATTTATTTTCGCTTTTTCCTTGATATATATCAAATGAGAATACGTAACCGTCGGAAGAGGCCAATATCCAAGACTTGTATCCGAATCTAATTGGTTTTCCTTTTATGAACATTTTGCAAGAATGTCTTCCTCGATATGGTATCATCTGTTCATCTATTGATAAATGATGTTTAAAAATTCCGAATTGCTGAAATTTATTATTCAATATATTAATGTAAGGCCTAACTTTATAAAATCTATCATGTATATCTATTTTAGTATTGTCTGCCAAATGGATATTATATTTCAAATTTCGAAATTGTAATTGGGTCATTGTATCCTGGATTATTGGAATAGAAATATCGCTGTCATTAGACCAGTACATTCTTTCTTGTGGGAGAGAATGATATCCAGTAAATAATAGAATTCCAATAAATCTCTGAATATCTTGGATGGTTATGCATATGTTAGGTCTATTCATTTGTTTAGCATAAATATTACTTTGTTCTACAATTAGGGAATATAAGTCTTCGTCGAAAATTAAACAAAATATATCTGATGGACTTTTACCATGTAAATCATTTTCAAGTTTTATTACATCTTCCTTTTCTCCATTGAAAGGGCTTGAAGAATATATTGCATCCGTTTTTCTCCATTTTAAATTGTGAGAAATTCGAGAATAGCTTCTTGTAGAATATGGTTCTGGAAGGTCGTCATCAACTGAATTATGAATCTCCAATTCTCCAGCTGTATCTGAAGGCAAAACTCCGACATTTGTTAAGTCATTTTCATCGAAATCTTCTTCATCACTAACTGCAGAGGGGTTTGGCGGAATTATAACCATATCTCTTTCTTCAATTGGTTCCTCTTCAAAAAGTTGAGCAAGCGCTTGTTCAATTGTTAGAAAACGTTTCATTAAAAAAATTTATTAAAAATTAAATATCTAGACAAATTATTTTCGTAGAATCTTGATTTTTTTATTAGTCATCTATTATTTTGATAATTTTGATTGAATTGACAAAACAGGTGCATAATATTTTATATAAATAAAATAAAATCTTCAGAAAGGAAGAGGCTAAAAATAATTTTAAACTTTTGAATATTTATGAACCTAATAATTTCATATAATTTGATCGGGATAAAAAATTATAATAGGAACAATATATTATTCGATTTAATCTCAGGGGAAAAAAATTTTTTTAAATTATTTTCAAAAGGTCTTTTTTGGGTATAAAATTTTTTTTAAAAATTCTTAAGGGGCTCGAGCCACCCACCCCTCCCCTTCCCACCCTTAGTGACGGTAGTGGTTTTAAGTATAATATAAAAAATTATAATTCATTATGTTAAATTTCATTTGTTTGAATTTTTTTAAATAATATATACTGCTAGATGGTTAACGGTGCATATATGCACCAGTCAACTTTATGTGGTTACCTACTAAAATATTAATTATTTAAAAATTCAAAAATGATTGATAAATATTGATATATCTATAAAGAATATATACACACTAGTTTTCATCGAAATAATTTTATAATATGCTCGTGAGATCACTTAGAAAATTTTGCATTTTAGACCTCATAAATTCGCAAAGTTTGAGGGTTTCTTAGGGGCATAAAAAAATATTTTTTTCATATTTTTCTTTTCCAGTTTTGAAGTACAATGTCTGAACTATATAAAAATCTTTTTTATTATTTTTAAAAAAAAAACTACTATGTTAAAATAAGGTATATAGGAGGTGGTGCATATATGCACCGTTAACCAGTAACGGGTTAAATGTAATCAATTATTTTATATTAAATTGCAGTTTTTTTCCTTCATTTATTATTATGTTGAATATTTTTCTTAAATGCTTATGTTGATACTCACTTTTATAATGAATTTTTTAAAAATTTAAAATAATTTTTGTAATATGCAATATTCTATTCTTTGCAATATTACATAATTATTTTATTAATAAGATAGATGATAAAGAAAAATCAATATAAATATTGGATCAGTATTGTAATCGGATAAGTATTTTAGTAATATCCAAAGGATCGGATCGTTAAAAAATTTGTGGATTGGCACAGCCCTAGAAATTTATTTAAATGTGAAAATTTGATTAAAAAATTAGAAATGCCTAAAGTATTGTTTATTCATAAATTTTTAGTAAATCTTGTCTTGATTAAAATTAATATAAAGTATGGTGGATTCAAAAAATATGATGGAGATTTTATTATAAATAATATTTTAATTTTAGTTAAAAATTAATTTAAAAAAAAAATTTTTTATAAATTTTTAAAAGGGTCAAAGGATCGTTTATTAACAAAATGATCTCGATCACGATCCTCATTTTAAGCGAAAATTATTAATCCGATAATTTGCCAAAATACGATCGAACGACGATCTAACAATCTGGCATTGATAACATCAATAAAATTTATTTAAGCTGGGCAAAAATTAACCGACAGGGCTGGGAAAAAAATTATTAAAATATTTATTAGTGCTGTGCCGATATTAAATATCGAATTGGATCGGCATCGATATTTAGCGTTTTCTAAAAATATAGTAACCGGCCGATACCTGTAAAAATTCAATCCGATCTTTTTACTTTTTTTAAAAATTTTATGTATATTTATTTTACATTAATAATATTTTTTAAATAATTTTTTTAAACAATGCAAATGCACAACACACCTTAAATTTTATTTATTTTTTTAAATAGATTTACAGTATTTTTAAAGTTTTTATAAAAATAGAA